TGACCTGGCCCTCTGCTTAAAAAGTTTGTGGACTCCTGGCCTAAGCCATTGTGCCGGTTTCATAACAATGCTGATGCCCATTTCACACAATATACTCACATCTGCATGGCAATTGCTTCACATGGTGAATAATTTTATATGTCAGAGATGGCCCTAGGCTGGTGACATACATTTCTGACTACAGCCATAGTGGCTACTCACCACATGGCATCACCATATAAAGGCAGTAACAACATGGGATGCTATATCAATGTATTTGCTAAAATAGGGCCTTGTAAACAGCAAACCTTGTTTTCTAATTCTCAAATTTTATTATAACTTATACATGTTACAAACATGTTACAAACTACTAGATAAGTACACCTCGCGTTTTATGGATATTGAGGTCCTTGATGTTGAGGTGGATGTATCAATATGTATTTTTATCTATTTTAGTATAGTGTTCTTTATTAAATGAATAAGAACACATAGAGTGCCGTTTCTACTACTGACTGGGTGCAGTTACAGTGGAGAATTAATGTAATTTGATACCACTTTAACTGCCATGGGCCAATGCTATGGAATCATAGGAGTTGTAGTTTTACAGTGTCTTTAGCTTTCTCTGCCTAAGAGTGCCAAACTACAACTCCCAGGATTCCATAGCACTGAACCATGGCAGTGAAAGTGGTCTCAATCTGCATTAATTCTATAGTGTAGATGTGCCCTGAGGCACACAAAAAATGACACACTAGTTCCAACAATATACATTTGCAGAGCAATTACATGACTCAGGACAATCAGATGACCATTTACCTTGTTTTAATCTCTTTGGGTGGCTCCAGTTCACTATAATCCTTGTAATTCTACACATTACCTTGCATTAAGGAAAAGCTGCACCAGTCTATGGCACTGTAAAAGTCAAAAGATTTGTCTATTCCATATGAATTACATGATAGTCAAGATGGCATGAACACTACCTTATGTAATGATGGAAACTCTCCCTAAACAGTCAGAATTCTCATATTGGGCAGTAGTTTACATTAGAACTTCTGACATAATGCTGATGTGTTTTGAGATTTGTGGAATATCTGGGAGATCCCATTTATTTACACCCTTCCTCTACAATCTGTTTGGTAACACGTGATCTTCAGGCTACACGTGAAGGAAGATTTGTTCACAAGCATCTATGGAATGCAAAGACAAAATACAGGATTGCTTAAAAGATTGTTCTTCTTTGCTGGTTATTCCAAATGAACTTTTGTATAACACGTATTGCTGGGTTTCCAAAAGTTCAGAATGTGAAAGTCTATTGAAGTTGGCAGATTTGCTTCTTTAGAAGGATAAATTCTAAACTTTGTACAAATGTAAACGTTTGTGAAGTTTTTGTTTCCTATCTGTTTTTATTCAGCCAATACATGTGCTAACCAAACAATCTATTGGTAGCTTCTTTTAGATGCAATTCTGAACATTAAAAAACTCAACTCTTGACACAACTAGAAATCAGACGAGTAATGTAGCCAATTACCTACACTTGATGAAAAGGGTTAGAATATTGTGGCATAACAGAAATTAATGAGATACTATATCAAAGAAGAAATCAACAGATTTCTCTATTCAGATTCGGTACTGATAACTTTTATCTTACAGTGTACTAGATACACTTTGAAGTTTCAGAGAACCAATAATCTGCCCTGTGGCAATTTAAATTATTTGATGGACACCTCTGGTGACATTTTGAGCATATATCTGCATGAGGTCAAGTTTAAAATATTCCACAAAGTGTGAGAAAAGCTTGTGCTCAGTTTCATTTAAATTCAACAGTCTTTAATCATATTTATACCTCACACATTAAAATATGAGAAAAGACAACAAATAAAGCATCATATTTTTATATCTTGAACACAAATGCTTGTGAGTTTTAAGGATAAGAAAAAAATAAATGTAAATGGTTCAAATATTATCTGCTAAGTTGTGAAAGCTACAGTATAGTTAGTGGAAATATATATATGTAAGATAGTTGCGTACAGTGGTTTCTGTCAAGAATTTATTTATTTATTTATTTATTTATTTACTCCATTTGTATACCGCATTTATCAGCCTGCGACGGCGACTCAATGCGGTTTACAGTAAAATGTGCAACACTGACAATATATAAGACAGACATACACAAACAACACACATATAGTCATCAACGCCTCGAATAGAATCAGATCCCGTTCTCATAGTCGTTTTACCATTCCTTGTTCAGTATGCCGTCTTCCTGAGTTAGTTGTAATTGCATAATTATCTGAACGCCTGTTCATAGAGCCACGTCTTAACCCTCCTCCGAAACACCAGCAACGAAGGGGCCTGCCTGATGTCCACTGGTAGGGCATTCCATAGCTAAACTTATTAAACTTATCCTTACGATAAAAGAGTTATATGTGAACAAAGTTATATGTGTTCAAAGAGGACACAGGAGAGCCATAGCAGAACAATGGATCATAATCAGCCTATTTTGAATTTCATGTAAGACTCAAAGAAATAAGAGATTCTGGACTATTTCTTAGGTAGTGTGAGATACCAAGAAACCTTTAACCAATTTAGGCATATGGCAGTTCACTTGCCAAATATCACTATTTTATATTATCCACAGTTGCCAACATTAGATTTCACCTTTTCATATGCAGTTATTTAATATATTTATAGTTTTAAAGTAGGATTAATTACACATTGGAATCCTGATAAGTGTACTAACTTTGTGTAACAGTCTATTATGCTGGCCATTTGACTTTTGCCCAGATCATACAAAGTAAGAAAATCAAAAATATTGTCATCAGTGGAAGATGATTGCTATCTCCAACCAACCTGTATCACCGACATCTGACTTCTAGAAGATTCCTTAGAGTGAAGAAGTTTGGGAAGGCACAACTCAGTGCTAACCATCTTTTTCAAGCACTTCCCTCCAATAGTCTTTCTAGCAGTTTACTAATTCCAAGCTTTAAAGGCTGAAGATGAAAGTTATAAAATTTACAATCGGTCACTCGAGTGGTCAATGTAGATTATAGGTGAACAAGCTTTGATTATGGAACCCACTTTGGCTGTAAGCAATACATAAACAATACAGATATGATCACTTTGTAATCTAAATAGATAATATCAGTTCCACCTCACTTTGCACAAGCAATCTCTTGATATGAGGAGGAATTAGGGCAGGTACTCTGCTTCTGCCTGTTGCAGCTGAGATAGTTCACAGGGAAGGTGGAAACGTTAGTCAGTTGCTTCCTAGCAGACAAGGGAATGAATCATGTTGCTCAAAGAATCATAGTTGGAAGAGACCACAAGGGCCATCCAGTCCAATCCCCTTGCAAGAAGACACAATCAAAGCACTTCTGATCAATGGCCATCTAACCTCAGTTTAAAACCCTCCAGAGAAGAGGACTCCACCACTCTCCTATGGGAGCGTATTCCACTGCCAAACAGCTCATACCATCAGGAAGTTCTTCCTAAAACTAAAATGAATTTCAAGAGGGAGAAGTGTAAGGTACTGCACTTAGGCTGAAAAAAATGAAATGCACAGATATAGGATGGGTGACACCTGGCTTGAAAACAGTACATTAAAGGGGGATTTAGAGGTCTTAGTAGACCACAAGCTGAACATGAGTCAACAGTGTGATGAAGCAGCTAGAAAAAACTTTGTGGTAGTTGATGCCCAATAAGTGGAAAATTGAGGAGTGGAATTGGGAGACACAACATAGCTGTATAACTGATGTGGGTGTGTAATCAAGTAGCTGACAGAAAATACCTGCCATTCTCTAACTGATTGCTTTGGTTGTACGTGTACCAATTGGTGAGCCACTTAACTTAAAGATTTCACATAATCTCTTCTAATCTAGTTCCAAAATTCTTTAAAGTACTTTTAGGATAAAAAAAATCTGAATAAATATAGCACAAGACTGAATGGTGCAGCATCTTTCTCAGTGCATTTTCTTAATGATTTGCAGGTGAAAAATCTTGTCAGGGTTCCTGTTGCTTGAACAACAAAACACCTTTCTACCAGTGTACTTCTCAATTTAAAAGTATGAAAGAAAACTGTATAATAAAGAAATGTCAGATAGCCTTGTTTTCAGCAGCCATATTTTGGTAGCAAGGGATTCTACCCACCCACCCCCTAAGTCCTGCTGAATTGCTATTTCTGATTTGATTATTGCTTATATATTTTATGTATTATGCAGAGTGTGATAGCCTCAACAATATTTGATAGTGAGCTAATTGACAGTGATAGAAAAATACTAAGTAGTAAAGGGCTTTAGGTAAGTTTAAGTGTTGTAACTGTTATTAATCTAATCCTGAGAAAAACAATCAAATAATTTTTAGCAGTTTTTTCTTCAAAATTTTTGTACATATTTCAATGCTGTCAGTTCTTTTTATAGCAATCATTTATTGCTTACCCTGTGATACAGTCTCAATGTTATAAAATACTGTATGTGTTTTAAAAGATTACAAGAGCAATGACTTACTGAAGAAATATCTCACTATTCTCAAAAGAAAAAAGTGTGGATTTAGTAATTGGAATTAGAAAAACCAAATCAATAGAGGGAAATAATTTGATGCGTTTCAAAGGGATTAACATATGTGGGTGTTCAGTGTTTCCAATCATAAGTATTCACATTGTGTGGAATAAATAAATCTCCACTACATATCTTTTCAGCCAAGGGTGGAACTGTGGATGGCAAGATTTATCATTTAGCTGAATCATGGGAATCCTGTATTATGATTATGAAAGTTAATTCCAAATATTCTGAAATGGATTTTCTCCCAAAGTTTCTGTCCTTCATATCACTTGTAGAATAATTGTGTTGGCTGAGACATAAATAATTTGTATATAAACTGATATACCTTGTCCCTTTAATAGGAGCGAAGCATGAAGCTACAAAGTAATCCTAAATTGTGATGTAAAAAGAAAATTGTTAACCATCTGAGAAATGCTGCTGCTTTTCACATATTTTGTTTGATTCAAAATCCAAAGTCCAAAAACCACACATACTGAAAAGCTTTATTTTTAAAAAATGTGATGATTACTGAGTTAGAAAAGGGGAAAAATACAATATTTCTTTTTCACTCTCCTAAATTGGTTTGAGGTTTCCTGCTGTCATGTATCAAATCCAGCAGAGATTATCTCTCAATATGCAAATCAAAGATATAGAAAGGAGTTTACATAGACCAAGTCGTTTGTACAGAGACGTTTTAGTGTCCTATTAGTGGCACACTGAAACTGTAGACTAAAAACACCTATCCATGCAATTAATTGCTCTACCATCTTGTTCACGGCCCACTTTCAAGAGGCTTTGACTTTGTTAGACATGCAGCCTTAGCTAAATGGGCCACCTTTCAAACTGGGAGATTCCCCTTACACTGAAATGTTTTGAATTTCTATTTACTAGAGACATTCAAAAGGTGTAAAGAGAGGTATTTATCCTTATAGTTCACTGACTTTGCAGAACATAACTGCAAAGCTTTGATAAATCCTTCCAAAGATTATGTTTGCATGGATTCAGAAAACAGGATGCTAATATGAGAGGTAAAGTCAAATGTTTTAAATGTCATGACTCGGAGGGGCGGGGGGGATCAAAACTCAAAGGAACTATATTCCTATGAAAAGTGTTAAGAGAAATCTACCAGCATCATACTTGTGAATGGCATCCTTGCAAATCCAGAGGTAGTGTTGTTTTATATTAAGGTTGCACAATAGGTTTTGGTTTCAATGTTTTCCTTACAGTCTTCTCTTATGAGAGTCACAAAAGAAAGGTCAATTGAAAGTAACATAAATCCTTTTCTTCATTGGAATGAAAATAAATACCTACTTTTTAGCATGCCTTGCTTACGCTTCTACAGAAAGGTCCATCCTCCCATTACAGCAGCGGTTCTCAACCTGTGGGTCCCCAGGTGTTTTGGCCTACAACTCCCAGCAATCCAAGCTAGTTTACCAGCTGTTAGGATTTCTAGGAATTGAAGGCTAAGACATCTGGGGACCCACAGGTTGAGAACCACTGCTTTACCACAACCACTGACGTAAATGTGGTTCACTATCCATGTTTAATTTTGGTAGTGACTAATACAAAAAAGATCAAAAATATTTTGCTTCATAATTCTATTTTTTGCTTCATAATTCTATATTATTCTATGGAACAAATTTTTAACATTTTAAAAAGTACATGTTATACTAACTGTCTTGGTTATATGATTGTCAAGTAGAAATAGCAGGATAGCACTTGAGGTGGTTATATATGTTCTTGGTTCAAAAACCAGAATTAGAAAACAGCACAACGGAGAGCTATTTGGTGGTGAGGATGCTTGGACTTCCAACTTTTGTTGAAAAGGATTCCCCCTAAATTCTGCTACACAGAGTACATTGATTATTTGTATGTTGACTGAATTCTTCATTTCCATCGATGTCTTACTAAAGAGGATTCATCATTTACAATGTTGTTGGTGGTACGCTGACGACACCGAGATGGAAGGAGGAGTAAGATAACAAGAACAAGAAGAACAAGTCCACAGAAGGTCATAAGTGTGTATGACACAATCCATAGCAATGGCTCATGGAGGGATAATGTAGAAACACAGGTACTTGCTACATCTGCAGTTGTGAAAGGGCCCTTGATCTCAGATACCGGAGAACCATCCATTTCTTTTTTTTTTTAATCAGCACGATGAAAACAAAAGAGAAAAAATATTTAAAATTTAAAATGCTAGCAGATTTCAGTGAATATATTCTTAAACATCCTTAAATGTTACATTTCCCTTCTCTCTATAATTCAAATCAGGGAAAACATGCATATTCAGGAAACTTATATCTAAAGGTAGAGTCCAGCTATATCTTTAAGAAAGTTCATTTCTTATTCAGTCATGCTATTTCTTATTCAATCATGTGAGTAATCTCACATGAAAGACATACAGAATGGGGGAAATGAACTTTATTTTAAAAGGAAAGAGAACTTTCTGTTCACCTTTTAGCAAAACTAATGATTTTGAGAGTTGCCGATTTGTTCCTTAAAATATTTCCAACTTTCCATCTATTCTTTCCTCTTTATCCAATTTCTCCCTTGCTTCATAATTTATAAAAAAAATGAATGAAATATAGACATAATAATAATAATAATAATAATAATAATAATAATAATAGCCAGGTAGAAACACAGGTCAAATAATAGCCAGGTCAAAGCATAGGCCAAGACATCATAGCCATGTTTAAGTGTATGAAATAGTCTGAGTAGAGTTGAAAGAAAAGCCATAATAAAAGTCAATTTAAGTAATCCCCACATCCATTTTGGCTCTTAATTTCTAGAAGTGGTTTTTAAAATGTAACAGCAAAATAGTTTCTAATGCCTTCTGAAAATTATTGTTACTTTCTAGAAAACTCTTATACTACTGGGTTGTTGTAGGTTTTTTCGGGCTATATGGCCATGGTCTAGAGGCATTACTACTTATACTACTTTGTATATTAGGCAATGTCTTTCGATGTTGTATGCCAAGATATAATAAAAAGATCTAAGCTGGAATACAAGAACATATGTTGATATTTCCTCCTTTTAAATAAAAGATCCACAGTTTGGGTAGTTATTTTATTTTATTTTATTAAAAAAGCCAATCTCCTTATATGTTGTATCATGAATTGTCCCCCATTCCACTTTTATCTTTATTGAAGATTTTGCCATTACTGGTGGTAATAGTACAATGGATGTTTACAGCATTTATGTACTTCACACAGGTAATCCTGCAGCTGCTTTTTATAGTTTCCTGTTTCAAAAGTAAATTTGCCATATGAAAAAGGCTGCAATTATAGAAATACAAGGCCAAAGTTTCCCTTGCTGTTATGAAACTAGTTACATGAGTCATTGGGTTCCAGCCCAGCTCTGAATCTCCCATGTGATACTGAGCTTCCATCTTTCTGCCTTACTCAGCAAAATGGTTGTAAATATCAAGAAGTGATATAAATATTAATTTTTCATATTTGCAAATGCTGTTTGATGGATTTAGCTAAGATGTTGCCTTAAAAAAAAGTAAAAGGCTATTCCCTCCCCTTGCCCAAGGACCAACCTCTTACCTGCACAGGTACTTAAAGCAAAGCCCACTCTCTTTTGAGCTCTATCAAAGATGACATAGAATCCTTCCATCACTGTAGCACCAATGACCAAGGCACTGTCAGAAGAGGAGATGCCAAACCGGTAACAGCCTAGATTTTGGCCGTATTCTAGAACAGGCTGAATATAAAGCTGTTTATTGGAAAGAAAATAGTATTAATCACCATGTAGCCAAATACGTTACAATGACTCTACTGATTATTAAAATATTACAAGCCTAATTGGTTTCCTGTTATAGTACTCCACTCCCATTTATCTATCATACAGAAATGTACTCCTATATTTATAATTTATTTATTTAAAACGTTTATATCCCTATCTTCTCCACCTCCATAGAGTGACTCAGACCGGCTCACAGCATTTACTTGGGTATAACACGCCATTGAGTGTAATGCTGCTCACTGCAATTTCAAAGGTGCACATTGAAAAAAGAAAAGAAAAAAATTGTTGCTGAATGTAATGTATGTCTTCTCCTTGCCTGTCGGCCATTCTACTACCTGCCTCAGAATAGCTGGGTTTATGTGCGCGATTCTAATGTGTCATCAAATCGTATGCACACTTCACTTTTCGCTGTGTAATTTAGCCAAGAAAAGGAGCATTAGATTCGAATAAATATGGTATATAGAGAGCAACCCTCATATCCATAGGGAATACATTTCAAGACTCCCCTTGGATGCCTGAAACCTATATTTTACTGTATCTGAGACTGAAGTGTGGGTACGTGAAAAAGTAAATATCAGTTGTAGCTTCACAATGACAAGAAGAATAACTCCAAATTTGTGTAAGGAGCATTCAAAGTTTTCCAATTATGAATTGACCCATTAATGTGACTATCAGTATATATGGCCTTCCCTAAAACGTTGCAGTAAGATTCTGAAATAAATTTTCCACTTTAGATTGAACAATGCCACCAGGGCAAGAAAAGACCTCTGTTTTGCTTGACTGCTCATTAAAAAGTACGAGCCTGGAATTCTAACGGGAGGCCATTTCAACGTTTGCTTCATTAAAGCCACTTCAAAGCATAGGCCAAAAAAACCAAATTGCAGACATATTTCATAATCCTCAGATTCATATGAATAATTCTGGACTCTGGAATCAATTCATAGCCTCGAAATAGTCACATGATAAAGATAATTAATAGCTTCATAAAACTGCACTTTGTTATTGCTCTTCAGGGAGAAAGGATGTTTTAGTACACCCTCCACATTGTTCCTGGTAGGAAATTATCTGCAGCCAGATTAGAAGCAGCTTTTCTCATTAATCCCTCTAGTGTGGTTGTATTCCAGTCTTCTACCACTTGATTCATACATCATGACAGCTCCTATGTAGTCGTATCAGGTTTACTGTCAAAATAATCTATTAAGAATGCAGAAGTGCTCTCCATATTTTGCTTAGATTTTGGGATATTTGCATATACATAATGTGCCATGTAAACATTTATGTTTCACATACACCTTAGACACATAGCAAAAGTGTAATTTTATACATAATATTTTCGATAATTCTGTGAATGAAACAAAGGACGTCATCACATTAGGAAATACTTTCTTTCTGATACAGTTTGAGAATGATGTTGAATGGATCCAATCACATGACCCATCCTTTCAGTAATCCATCTGCAATTTTTTCAGTTGCTGAAACACCGTTTCAGTATGTATCCCATCAGCAGCAATATTATTTGAAATTTGAGGGCGTGTCTCAGAATGTTCATGCCCTCAGACTGTTCATGATGGAAGTGACCACTATTTCTGTTTGGAACATCAAAGGAGAAAGATCTCCAGGGTTAAGGAAATTGGGAATTGAATGAATCAATAATATATCATTTATGATCAATCTGATATGATTAGATTCCTCAGAACTCCTCATTAGATTCCTCAGAACCCCTTATTTCACACCAAAAGGTAACAATCAGCCAACAATCAGATGCGACAATGTTTTTAAACCTCGCAAGAGTGGTAGCTTGAGACTTTGAAGCTACATCACTGCAAGGGTTAAGACAAACAATTTTTTTAAAAAAAGGTCACAGAGTGTCATAGGGAGCCTTCGAAATGGATTGGGAAGAGCCAGCTTTCTGTAGTGTGATGAACCAAAGCAGAGTATTTTCTGAAGATAAAAATCATGTATTTGTGATGGAGTCAGTTTGTATTCCGTCTGAAAGCAGTATGCAATCAGTCAGAAAAAAACAACAGGGTGCATACTGATATTAACAGATTATATCCCAATGTGATAAAGTTCTCAATTTGTGGACACTGAAGCACCAGAAAGCAAAAATGTCACTCTTTATGTCACTCATGTAGACAATTTTGAATTTTGGAGCAGATTTCCAAATAAGGGATATTCAGCTTGTAATTAAATAGATTCGCTTAAATTGAATGTACATAAGTGTTTTAATTGCTGTTTTAATTGTGATATTTTACTTCTATATTGCTGGCATCTAATGGTTGCCTTTTGTAAGCCGCCCTAAGTCCCTCTCCGGGGGTGAGAAGGATGGGCTATAAATACTCAAAATAAATAAATAAATAATATTAAAATATAACACTTTTAAATATGTTTTTACTATATTGTACAGTATTACCCCTATATTCAGGGGACCTGTACCCATGGTTTCATTTATCCAGTTCTGACCAAATGTGTCCTCTCTAGGCATTTTCTAAGTTCTCCAGTATGACTCTATGGTATGCGTGGATCAGAAGTCCTTCATTTCAATACCGCTCTGAGTCGCCTAAGGGCTGAGAAGAGCAGTATACAAATATAGTAAATAAATAAATAAATCATGGTTATGTGTATCCATGCAAAGTTCCGTCTTCAAAAAGACCACACCCAGGAAGACCCTGGGAACATCATGCACTACTCCCGAACTCTTTTCAAACTGCCAGTTTTAACGTATGATCCAACAAAGCTGTTACTCTCCTTATGTTCAACATAATACAAAAGAAGACTGTTTTTTCAGACCTGTGGAAGGATTGTGATTCGAAATGATCTGCTGACATTTTCATCTCTCAGATATATAGAAATCTCAGGAAAGAAGGTCCAAGGTTTTTCAGTTTTAACCCAGCAGGCAAGCTGTGTACCACTCCAAAATCCTCCTGGGAAATCCTGGATCTATATGGGAGGAAAAACAAAAATACCCTGAGTTCAGCAGTGTTGATACTCCATCAATTAAATTTCTCTTCTTCATAGTCTATTTCAAGGAGGTAGGTCATATTCTGTCTTGAAGAACTACAGCATTTCTATCTAGCATTCTGCCTGTATAAAAGAATGTTAATTCTGAAATAGGATCTCATTAATTTTTTGCAAGTTAGATTATATATATATATATATATATATATATATATATATATGAGTTAGTTTTGCAAGTTAGATTCTGTACAAAGGCCCCCTGGTGGCACAGCAAGCTAAACTGCTGAGTTGCTGAACATGCTGACCAAAAGGTTGGTGGTTAGAGTGAGCTCATACTGTTAGGCCCAGCTTCTGCCAACCTAGCAGTTTGAAAACATGTAAGTGTGGGTAGATCAATAGGTACAGCTTCTGCGGGAAGGTAACGGTGCTCCATGCAGTCATGCTGGCCACATGACCTTGGAGGTGTCTACAGATAACACTGGCTCTTCGGCTTAGAAATGGAGATGAGCATCACCCCCCAGAGTCGGACACGACTAGACTTAATGTCAGGGGAAACCTTTACCTTTACTTAGATTATATACATTAAGGCTAAGTATATTATATGTTAGCATAGGGCTGAATGCTACATTATTTATTCTTGATGAGACAATACAATGGACAACCTTTTCCAAGTTTATTAGCCCCAAAGAAAAAGCTTGCGTCCAACACAAGACTAAGACGTATTTTTCCACAGTTTTCACCAAATGTCTGCTAACAAAGCCATCATGGTGTAGTGGTTTGAACTTTTGACTATGATTCTGTTTTTTAACACGGTCATGAGGTGAGGAGTACTGTGCTCCAGAACTCTGTCTGTCTCAATTCGGATGTCACAGAGTAGTTTGATGTGTTCATATTCTGTAACTTTTTCAGGCTTGTGATCCCACCAATTCTTTGTTTGTTTGTTGTTGTATTATTATTATTATTATTATTATTATTATTATTATTATTATTACAATGGGACTTTCTTTTCTTTTAACACTTACCTTCCAAATCTTTCTATATTTTTTCCCTCCCTCCCTCCTCAACCACAATATATTTCTACTAATCTTGCAGATCCAGCCATTGATAAAGTCTTTGTATTTTTTTTTCCTCCAACATTTGTACCATAAGGGTTACAAATCAGTTTTTAGTAAACTTTAGATTTGGTTTGGTTATTTGGGGTGCTGATTCAGAAAACTGCATTGGCTAGACCACATTAACTCTATTTTCCGATTCAGAATGTATACCATCCAGTAGTTGTCATCTGCTTGCCCACAGAAAACCATATTTAATAATCTAGAGGTGATATGATAGTAGTAATCTTTCGTAGGTAGTCAGCCTCTCCCCTCTCAACATCCCTGTTGACTCGGCACTATAAGAGGGTTTCGTGAGATGAGTCGCTCCTGTTGCCACATAGTTTCAAGGCAACGGTGTAGTAATAGTGAGGCCATGGACCATATTTTCGTTCTTGGGGACCACTGATGGTCCACGGATCACAGGTTGGGAACCACTGGTTTAATTCAAGGTATTTATGGAGCCAAAGTATGTTCCTGGAAGTGCAACTGAATTTTAAAATAAAGCACGCACTCCCTGTGTTCCTTGTTTTTGAGGAATTGGGTCCCTCTCTGAGTGTGCAGGGCACTAGTTTTTAAAGGGCAGTGGCAAGTCAGTGCTGAAAGCAAAATGAAAATATTCAAGTAATATGAGAACTAAGGAGAGTCCCACTTTCCAAGGCATACGAACAATAAATAATCTTTTCAGCTCTGCTCCCTCCTGTGCTTATTAAATGTCTCAAGCTTTTAAAAGATCAAAAAGGCCTTTCTGCTAAAATCATACACATCTGTCCGCTTATTTTAATGAAACCACGAGTGAAGTGGTCAGCCCATTTCTTTCATTTTAACTTTACTGACATATAATGAGATGGATGTGGAAGCGATGACTGCCTTCTGGGGTCCTTACAAAACAATGTCAATAATTTTTATTAAGAGGTAACTTCCACTGAGTTAAATGGGGCTTTGTCGTACATTTACCTGCCAAAGATTGCAGTTATATAGTAAGTCAGCTGAGGGAAGATATCCCTGGACTTGGTGGGAGTTATATTTGAGCAGGCTTAAGTATGATTGGGCTGATCACACATAAGCCAACCAAATATTATTTTTAAAAAGGAAATAGTTAACAACCTGTTTTTCCTGAACCAAGACAAGCTTTCCCTCTAGCATCTACACTTAGAGAGGGAAACGAAAAAACAACGCAAATGCAAACAAAACAAAGATGTTTCCTTATCCAGAGCTCCCTGTGGTCAACACATCCTTTATGACTCCATCATTGCTTTTTTAAACTTTTCATTGGAAAAGTTCATCCTAACAAGAAAACATTGTCTGATTAAGGAAAGGCTATCTCCACTGTCCTATTGTTTGGTATGTACGTATGCTTTGAGCACATTTTGTTTACATGCCCTAAAACTTTTCAGAAAAAATACACATCCGGACTTCCTCCTCTTGTAAAAGGGTGGCTGTCCAAAGTCCTCCTCCTTCAAGTATCTTTTGCTGAAGATGTACCATCTGCTCTGGGTTGGGTTCATTTACTCTACCAAAGAAAGTCCAGAATCATTTTCTATTTTCTTGCCAAACACACCCACACCAATAAACGCTCTGCAATCTGTTATTCAAAAAGTCTTTGGACTATAACCCCTACATGTTATTTGGGAGTTGCAGTACAAATATTACTCCTATTTCAAACTTTGCGTCAATTGGAAAGTGAATCTTACTGTATGTGGAACTGCAGGTTGTACAGTATCTATTTAGTCCCTTAATGTTGTTATGGGTGGAATGATCTATGCTATAGATGAGAGACTTCAATTACTACTACCACATGACATAGAAGATTATGGCTGATATTGCAAAAAGGGGGCCATATTCCTCCAGAAGCCACAAAGGAGTGGTTCCTTTATTGCTTATTTTACTTCTAGAGATGGAGCCCCTGGTGGCGCATTGAGTTAAACCCTTGTGCTGGCTGAACTGCTGACCGAAAGGCCAGCGGTTCAAATCTGGGGAGTGAGGTGGGTGAGAAGCCTCCCACAGGATGGTAGAACATCCAGGTTTCCCCTGGGCAATGTCCTCACAGACTGCCATTTCTCTCACACCAGAAGCAACTTGCAGTTTCTCAAGATGCTGCTGACATAAAAAAAAACTTCTAGAGACCACAAGGAGTGAGTGAGGGAACATAAGCTGCAGATGGCCAGCACTGAAAACTCACACCCTAAAAAAAAAAAAAGAAATAACAGGAAAAAGAGTTAAAGAAAACAAGAAAAACCAGATCTACCCTTGGCATATTAAGACAGAAGGAAAATATGCATTCATTAAAAAAATGATTTTTTTGGGGGGGGAGGGGGGGCGAGGGAGGAAAGAGACAGAGAAACAACTGCCTCCAGAAAATTATATTAGATAATACACCAAAACCAATTATCAGACCTTAACATCTTAGTCTTCATGTAATCAAGGTCAATGTAGTAAGTTATTAAAATGAAAAAACACAATTTCAAATGATGTGTATTATGACCTGCCAAACTGCACCTAGACAATATATTGTTGCATTGCCATTATATCTGGTACAATTTGACAAGTACCATTCAGTTAATAAATACATAAAAGAAGACTAGCTTGATGAGAACTTCATTATTTTAAGATTTTAGACCGAAGAGCAGAAAATCATGGAATGTATGGGGCAAGAAAATGGGGACAGCATTGAGATGGGCCAGAAAGCCAGTTTGAAATCATGCCATCTATTTCACACTGAGCAGTACAACCTACAATTAGTACTAAAATATTTTGTCTCATGCAAGAGGAATTTAGCTAAGCTGTTCTGAACAAAGTTTGGGAAAGTTTGTCAACTGCCCCGAGTCCCTGAGGGGAGAGAGGACAGTCTAGAAATAAGTTGTTGTTGTTGTTGTTAGGGACTTTGACTACATCTCCCCACATCCCTGAGTCAGGCTTGGGGATTCTGGGACCTGCAGCCCTCAAAGGTAACTTTTCCAAACTCTGCTTCTGATAAAAGATCAAAGGCAGCAGAAGGGGCAAGCAACTCTTGATTCCTTTGTGCAGATGATTCTCCTCCAACCTTGCAGAGCTACATGATCCCAAGTAATAAAAGCTGTCAAGGTATTCAGTGCCAAGACGTTATTCAAGAGCTCATACTTTACTCTTTCCAGCAGATAAAATAAATGGCCTTCTCCAAATGTAGCAGAAAACACAGTCCTCCAGTATGCAAAATAAAATACATCTTAATTCAGCTTTGCAAACTTACATGCAAAACAAAGGGTCCTTCCCACAATCTGCAGGAAAAACAGAGAGCTCATCACTCACAGCAAGGGTTTGTAAAGAGCTCCAAATAGTTTGTAAAGGGTTTGTAAAGAGCTCCAAAAGGTTTGTAAAGAGCTCCAAATAACCACTGTTGTTATACCTGTTCCGTCTCCCAGGAGACTGGGTTTATTGCCTTTTTTGGTTGTTTGATTCAGCTGCCTTTGCCCTTTCTTTTAGAAGCTTCTGCAGCTTTGCAAGTCCTGGAGTTGCAGCCAAAGGCGGGAAAAAGGGGAACCAGCCTGCAAACTCTTCGCAGTGATTGGCCTAGGGAGCAGCTCTTAGAGCCCGCCCTTTTTCCTGGGGAGAGTTTTCCTTCCTAGAATTTTCCTACCCTGTTCAGTTCCAAAGATGCCTTTTGGATGTGCTGAGGGCCAAATAGGGCAGCCCAGAAAAAACCACCGCAAAAACTACCAACTACCTACTACTGAGAATTGAGATAGCATAGTTAGGTAAGCTAAATTACCAACTACTGAGTATTGAGAATTGAGATAGCATAGTTAGGTAAGCTAAATTAACGACTATTGAGAGAACAATTGTATTGACCATTGAGAGAACTATTGTATTGAGAACAACTATTGAAATAAATATCCCCCTTTTTGATGTTTAGACCTCGCAGTGGACTCCATTTTTTATTATCTCAATTTTCTCCAGAAAGCCCCAGCGGTTCGCCCAGACATAGGAACAACACATCATAGTTTGTTTTATAAAGCGTCTGGGTATAACGGCACAATACCCTACTGATTGTAGTAGGAGAAATCACTTGCCTTTATTGACAGAAGTAATGCACTTGCATGTAGATTCTTTCTTTCTTTACACACATACACCAGTGATAACCTTAGTGCTGATCCTCATGAAAACTTACCCAGTATTCTAGATAACAAAAATCACTATGGTATTGATTGGAAAAGCAGAAATTCATGTCCATTGGATATGGGGTCTACCATTCCTTTCCAGACAAGCCAAAAATTACAATCAGAAGCCTCACACCTCTGACAAACTTGATATTATATGTCCATTAAGCACTTTGACATCTCAAAATGCTTGTGACTTTCCCTTGGAAAAGCCAGAGAAGGCAATGTGGAGCCCTGCCACCTAAAAGGCAGCATATACAGTCAGCCTTCCACACTTGCCAACCACACTCTTTTACCTGAGAGTACACCTCTCTAGATCCTCCAGCACAACTTTATGGTCAACTTTTAATGGAATCATACTGGTTTTAATCAGATCTGCAAATAATCAAATTCACAAAAGTCAAACCCACAAATGTGCAGGATTGACTGTATACCTTATAAAATCTTAGCCCAACACTTCCCTTGGAAAAGTCAGGTGACTGGGAAGAAAAGAGCAGAAGGAGAGGGAAAAGGAAAGAGACTTCCCCCATCGGCCTTTCCTGCTCTTGAGTAGGAATCCCAGCAGGAGGAAAACAGGTTGTCTCTTTCTTGTCATTCAGAAAGTCTGCAGTCTTTTTCTCAGCGTAACAGCTCGAAATAGGACTGGGACTGTCCCACAATATTATACCAACAACTTCCCACAACATGCCAGTCATATTCACCAATGAGTGAAGTCACCCATGTCTTGGTAAAATTGATTTTTAAAAACTGTTTCACACCTATAGTTAAGTTTTTCCACTTTAAATTTCTTCTGTGTTCCAAAAAGGAGACAAGGAAGTATGATTTTCCCCATTATCCCTCCTCCTTATTTCTTGGAAATGTGCAATGTAATTCCTTCATAATATACATCATTTTTATGTAACCAGTTATTTTTTCTACTCTTCCTTGTACTGAAGGGCACATCCAGACAGTCCTTTAAAAGCGGGAGCTCCAGCATTTTAAAATGGGACGTCCAGATGACATCTCACAGAGAAGTGATTCCATTCAGCACAAAGCAGGAAAACCCCACTTTGTAGTGAATTAATTTAATAGTGGGTTTTATCCACGACTTCTTGGAAGGCATGGGTCGAACCCACTATTTCCGCTGATTGGATTTCTGAGGGGTCAATCCAGACAGCAGTCTTGCATTTTTCTGGGCTAAATCGGCCCAGAAAACCACAAGGGTACCAACCCTCCCAAAAAAACCACCCTTTAAAAAAGAAAATAACTCATGGGGCCAGCATTTCCTTGCTGCTGGCCCTCTCCTGGCACATACAAAATAGCCCATTCTTCATAAGTAATCGTGACAAATAAAAATCTTAAACAGGTTTAATTATTCCTCCCACTCCCCCCCCCCCCCCCCCCCCCCCTGAACTCTACTGGCGCATCATTCCTAAGCACCAGGAGAGGGCCGGCAGCAGGGAAATGCAGGCCCTGTAAGTTAATAACTTTTAAAAAGGGGTTTTAAGGGATTTGGGGAGAGGGTGGGGGCTGTCTCCCTGTTCTCTCGATAGTTACCATAAAGATATGTAGACAGTGCCCACAGAATGTGTGGACTTTTGGGGCAGTGTGCGGACTACAGTCCGCCCATACCTGAGTTTTTTAATCTCAGGTCGAAGCAGACTTTACCACAGTCTGGAACTGCCTGAAGTCATTTGGTTGTGTGTGCCTGATGCACTTTAAGGCTAAAGCTTCACTTTATCATCATACTTTCTGGGATCTCACAATTTTGATACAAACTGGATCATGTTTTTAGTGATGAGACGCTAGTGAATGGCTATTGGTGTTAATTGTATATTGTTGTTAATTGTATACTTTTCTATAATATGTTATGATGTTACCTGTTTTTTATACTGTGTTATGGTATGGAATTTCTGCTGTTCTTGTTGTGAACCGCTGTGAGTCGCCTAAGGGCTGAGAACAGCGGTATACAAATAAAGTAAATAAATAAATAAAAACTGAACACATGCATGTGTCATTTGATCAATATGTCTTATGCTCTGGGGCTTGAGCCACATAAAGATAATCATCAATTGGAGCAAATAAAACCATGCTATACACTATCTGTACAACTGACAACGAACACCAGCCAGTACTCCAGAACAAAAGGCACTTATTTTGTGAATGGTTGCCAATAAAGTGATGCATTTTTAGACCAAAGTCTTAAATGGTTCAGACAGAACAGGTGGTTTATGTCTTTAAATACTGTCAAGCAAAAGAGAATGATGCCATTGTAGTGGCAATTAAGCTTTTATTTACACTTTTCTCAACTGAGAAGTCTCCACTCAGAATGGAAATGTTTGGAACATTTAGTTGCAGCTTCCTGATTATGAATTGAATAGCTCTTGTCCTAAAACTGCTGTTAAGTATGGTTCCTTTAAGAAACAGTCTTCCCAAGAAGGTAAATTTTGTGAACTGTAGCTTACCAAGGAGGTCTGGATAATTGCTCCCACAACAGCACTGAAGACTTTTTCTGGCAGGCGCAGGAGTGTTGTGCCACTGTCTACAATGGCTTTGTCTGAATTGTACTAAACAGGGAAACAAAAAAACAAAATGATCAATGTATTGCAGCAGCCAGTTGCATTGCAAGCCATTCCACTCATCCTTGTGTTGGGGATAAGATGGGGGTGCAGGGGCAGAACAGGGAGGATACTACCCAGAGACTGTATACAGTGATAGATACTTCCTACTCCAATCCTATACTTGCTTATCAGATGTAAATCAATATGATGGTGTACACTGCCCTATTAATTCTGTTACAAGGAGGAGGAGTTGAACAAATAACAGGTCTTAAATCTGAAGTTTGCTTATTGTTATATGGCTCAGCCCAGCACTCTGCCTTGTCTTCCCTCAAACAAGGCAGAGTTATAAAGCATGGTTCATTTTTGATTTTTGACTGATGGGGTAGGGTGGGATGGAAAAGAGCCAAAACAGCGTTGAAAATTGAATTACACTTTCAAGAATCTCCCATCCAGCAGAGTCAGAAGAGGATTCTTGGAAATGTCCAAAGGAGTAACTCTAGTTTAAAGGGTTTTTGTTTCCAAGTTTTGAGCCAAGGCAGTAGGTTCAGTTGGCAAAAAAATGCATATTAAACTATTAGTAATGCTTTCTTTTTGATACCCTGGTCAGGATCCTGGTGAATTCTGAAAAAAATTGAAGACTTCTGAGAATCTACACAGACATCCCGGGAAAGCTCAGCTTATCAGTCACATTGGAATGTCACAAGGATAAGAATTACCAGGCTCTTTCGAACTACTAACATGGGACGCATTCATTCAGAATCCACGTATATGAACAATGCAAGCATCTATAGGGTTCAGATCCTATTCAGGGAACAGTTTTTAGTCATATGGAATTTTTACACACAGAAGCTTCACATTGGCAGGAGTTCACACTTGTATGACTCAAAATACAGAGCTAAATGCTTTCCACTACCTTTCAAATATAATGGCACATTGTTTGATAAGTTGATATTTGTCAACTGCTTTGAGCACAATCTACTGTGGAAAAGCAGGTATAGCTAAAAATATTAAGCAAATTAATTGGCAGGTACCCTGTCAAGTCGAGGACTAGTCATTGCAATCCTGCCTCTACAGACCACACTTGGAGAAGGCCTACTTATGGCCCAGTTATTACTAACAAGAAATGCATACAGCTGGTAAATTCATCTAAACTGGGGAAAATCAATGCTAACCTCTGCTACTGCTAGAAGTTCAAGAGCAGAGCAAGAACCAAGATTATGCCCCAAATTGTGAAGCCAAGTCTGTAGGAAGCACACCATGCTAAAGAATACCATCTGTGCACTTCAACCAGGAATAGACACAATCTCAGGTCACAATATTTTCATCTCACTTGGATTAAGGTTTTGTGAGATAGAACCTGAAAGTAGGGAAACTTGAAATCATTGCAGTAGAAGCCAGTCATAGACTGGTAATGACTGATAAAGTCATTATGGAATGACCATGTGTGTGATCTACTACTAATTTTGCATTTCTAATCAACTGTTGACTGGTATTTGCTCTTGACCAATTAGTTTTCACACTTGTGCTGGTGAAGTTCCCACCATATTATGCTCACTATTGCTAAATCTGTTTTGCGTTTTTAAACCAAAGAGGTTTCAGTTTTATAAATAGAACAAACATAATACAGAATAGCCCAGAACTGCTTTGGGGAAATTCAAATAGAGTTCAGATACATGGAGGCAAAATCTATTGGAGAGACACAGTGAGTAAGATAAGTGAATGTCAGCAATCTCCATTCACTATAGTGATATTTACATCTTTTGTTCCAAATGTTTGTACTCTCAACTGAGTAACTTTAATTTTAGTAAAAAGGTAAAGGTAGTCCCCAGACATTAAGTCCAGTCATGTCTGACTCTGGGGTGTGGTGCTCATCTCCATTTCTAAGCCGAAGAGCCAGCGTTGTCCATAGAACTTCCAAGGTCATGTGGCCGGCATGACTGCATGGAACGCCGCTACCTTCCCGCCGGAGCAGTACCTATTGATCTACTCACATTTGCATGTTTTCGAACTGCTAGGTTGGCAGAAGCTAGGGCTGACAGTGGAAGCTCACGCTGCTCCCCGGAATCGAACCTGCGACCTTTCGATCAACAAGCTCAGCAGCTCAGTGCTTTAACCCACTGCGCCACCGGGGGCTCCAGTCAATTGAAATATCTTTAGGTTTGTACAATAGCACTATTCACTGCTGGTGCACTGGTTAACATTTCCCACCAGATAGGTTGCTTCTGAATCTCCCAAATATTAAGTAAAAAATGAATTGGGTTGCTGTGAGTTTTCTGGGCTGTATGGCCATGTTCCAGAAGCATTTTATCCTGTTGTTTCACCCACATCTATGGCAGGCATCCTCAGAGATTGAGGAGTCTGTTGGAAACTAAGTAAGTGAGGTTTATATATCTGTGGAATGCCCAGGATGGGAGAAAGAACTCTTGCCTGCTTGAGGTAGCAGTGAATGTTGCAATTTGCCATCTTGATTTGCATTTAATGACCTGCAGTTTCAAAATCTGGTTGCTGCCAGGGGGAATCCTTTGTTGGGAGGTGTTTGCTGGCCCTGATTGAGTCTTGTCTGAAATTCCCCTGCTTTTTGAGTCTTTCTTTTTTATTTCCTGTTCGGATTGTAGAGTTTTTTTTAATATTGGTAGCCAGATTTTGTTCATTTTCATGGTTTCCTCCCTTCTGTTGAAATAGTCCACATTCTTGTGGACTTCAATGGCTTCTCTGTGTAGTCTGACATGGTGATTGTTAGAGTGGTTCACAATATCTGTGTTCTCAAATAATATGCTATGCCCAGTCTGGTTATGGCTGACTTCTCGATAACACAAAAATAAATTGTTTTTGTTGTTTTTAAATACCTCTTTACAGTCCAAATTAAGATTCTGGCCTCCAACTTCCAATTTGAGTACTTCAACTTGATAATACCACTCTCTCTGAATAGGTGTGTACCAAATTTCTCCCTTGTATAGACTTGGTTCAATTCCACCAAGGATCTAAAAAGAAACACAGGTCATCAGCCTTTATTATACAACACAATAAAACAGTTAAGTTATGCAGTATGCATACACTCTGCTTAAAGTATTTAAGTGGCATTTAAATGCATTTTAACCTTGCATTTTTTATAAAAAGCAGTTTCATAAACTGCTTTTATAAATCAATTCAAGTAGTTTTTACTTTGAAAAGGTCACTTAATGAATAGTGAAATGAATTTTTTGGACACAGAAGCAAGAAATATATAACTCAGGAATACAAAATGCAATCACAAAATTTCTACTGTGAACAATCTGAACAGTAGGGACGGGCAAAGTGCAGTTCATGAGCTTCATGCAGCCTCCACAAGCATTTTTGTGATACCTTTTTTACACCAAGAAGTAAGTAGAAAGTGACTTCAGCTCACATCCTGTTGCTTAAAAAGGCCTTTCCACAAAACACAATGTGAATGTCCCACGTGTCCCATAGAGAGCATTAAGAGAGTTACATTTTTGCAGGACTTGGTATGGTTGGTGGCCCTCCAAAATCTCCTGGGAGGCTAATGTGTCCCCCTAGTCACAGTCATGGGTGTGCCTTCAAGTCACCTGTTGACATATGGTGACCTCATAGATTTAATAGGGTTTTTGTAAACAAGAAATATTTAGAAGTGGTTTTGCCTGTTCCTTCCTCTGAAACATAGCCTACAACATGTGGTATTTATTGGTGGTCTCTTATTCAAATACTAACCAGGTCTGACCCTACTTGGCTTCCAAGAATCTGGTATCTTGAAAAACAACATCAACATAAAATGTTGATTGCATGTTAACTATAAAAATACAATAAATTTCAGCAAGAGAAGACAGACCGAGATTGTCTTAACTTATCATTTATTAAAAGCATAGATCTCTCAGAAACACAGAATATATGTATTTCAGTTATAGTCAGTTCTCTGCATCTGTGGGTCAACAGATCACAGGTTGAAGGAATTTTATTTTTTCCCCAAACGCAAATCTTAATTCTGCCATGTGCCAAGCACTAGGCTGATATGTAGTTATTCCTTGCTATAACCTATTGCCATTTCACAGAACCCCTGGCTCTCTGGTGCAATTTTGAGTTGTTTGTCGTTTTATATAAAGGATGGTATTTTACTAAGCCATTATATATAATGAAAGGAACACCCATGGCTTTTGGCATTCATGGATACCAAATCCCCACTGTATGCTTCCATCGGTTATACTGACAGTACTGAAATAGGCTTTCAGGGGTATGTAGTGCTCAAATAGCAAGGTTGTTAAAACCAAATATTAGAAGACTGATAATTCAGCAGCTGCTACTAAGTAACAACTATTCCAGATTTTGAGCACTTTCATGCTATATTAGGTTTAGCAAAAGAAAATAAATCTTTGAATTCTTATCTTCAGTTGAGCAGATATTTCATTCTGTATTAGAATAATCACTACAAGAAATTTAATGTGCACAAGTCAGAGAACTTTATTCTCTGATTTAACAAGCTATATGACAAATTTAGTAAACAAACTAAATTATGTTTTTTGGATGTTAATGTGCATGGTAACACATTTGCCTAAGATGATAAAAAGGCATTTTATAGAATCAAATTTATCAAATGGTACTATAAGAAGCTTCATTATTTGCATTTCAGGCTGACAGATACCCACAAGACTACCTCCATTGGTACCAGTTCCAGAAACAGGCAAACCAGCTCCACACATCTGCAAGGAAAAAATGTTGGGAATCTTTGCTTGATTCACAAGGGAATCAAAAAATGTCTCCAATGAACCTGAAGGCTGCAATAAAAAACAACAAAACAAGTTGTAAACACAGTGGTGGATGAACATATTAATTTCTTACCCTCTCAGTAATAGTTTAAATGCAGAATTTAAGTGTCAATGAGCTATTGACACAGAGTTCTTAAAACCAAGGATGTGTAAAATGGGGCTGGATTCCTCATATAGTCTTCCACAAAGGCCATTTGTGTGTGCCCTATATCTCACTCCAAAAGGCTGGAAAAATCTCCCCAAAGTTGAGATTTATTATAGGTTGAGAATCCCTAATCTGGAATTCCAATATTTGTAAAATAGTTCACATGGGTGGCTAAGAAAATGACACATTTGCTTTCTGATGGTTCAATATAAGCACACATCATTCTATGCACACAATTATTCAAAATATTGTGTACAAAATTACCTTCAGGCCATGTGTATCAGCTGTATATGAAACATGCATGAATTACATATTGGATCCTGTCTCCAAGATTTCTCATGTATATACATGCAAATACGAATATTCTAAAATCTGAAAAAAATCCTTAATCCAAAACACTTCAGGCCCCAAGAGTTTCAAATAAGTAATATCCAACCTGTATTATATTGATCACAGGGCTATCTGTAACATTTCACACTGAGATTAGCCTAGTAGTTCCTTTATACTAATAGCAGCCCGACTCAACCTGTATAACTCATAACAATATCTCTCCACCTTAGTTTTCAGTAACATAGAATGTTGAAGTATCTACAGGAAAAGGACGTAGTTGAATATAAGAAAACAAACTAGCTTTAGCTTTGTGGTACATTTTATTTATAAAAATATGCACACTGTAAGTATTTGAAACAATGTTCCTGGGTCACCACCTGCCTTCCATAGTTCTACTTTTATTTTTCAACTCAGATATAGGAGTTATTAGATGAGAAGTCAAGTTACCTTAGACAAGGCAGCATAAGCAAGACCAAGGATCCCTTGCCACTGGATACCTTGTAAAAAGAAATTTTCAGATTGAAAGATGGTTGCAATGTTGATTGTATAAGTGCCATTGATTCCTTTCGGCATAGTGATAACATCTGTTCCAAGAGTTCCAATCCAGCTTCCTTGGGTATATTTAACAGCTACATCAATACCCAGTGGCTTATATGTGCTTGATCTAACAGAGTAGGGAAAAGGTAAAACGGCTTTAGAAACAAGGTTGCACATATTCCATGCTCACAATACAATTTTATACAACAGGCATGAAAACTTGAATTCTGTTGCCAGAACATTCAGAAAAAAACCTTATTCTCCTTCATGAATAAAATACAAAAATTTATAAATCAGATTGATTCCCATGGATTCTTCCACATAACATCCTTTCACTTGAATATATTATTATATGCGTTTCTATTCCACCTTTCTCCCAAAACGTTTTCCCCCCATTTTTTTGCATACAATTTTTAACAGAAAAAAATAGAAATAAAGAAGACAATAATGCCTATACATATAGACATAAACATAACTAATTTCTCTTACCATTTCACATGTCTAGGAAAGCCAAGGGCCACATGAAGAAGACCCTGTGGACCTGAAGCTCCATCATCTTAAAATGTTACTAATAAATATGTTTTAAACTGCAGTGATGTGCCATGTTACTCCAGTAATATTTTGATGTAGGAATAGCATGATTTAAGCTAAGGACCTCATCACATGGAGGTCCTAAAGCCGAGGGACAGCGGGGGAATCTGTCAGACAGTGGGGAACCATTTTTATGCATCCTGTATTGTCTGAATTACTCATTTCCCCATCACACAGAAGAAGCCATCACCGCCCGACTTCCCCCACGCTGTCCCCAGCTTACCTAATAAGAACACAGGATAGCCACACAGGTTCTCAGGACTCATATTCTACAATGTTTTCAGGACGGAGCCCCAATGGAAGTAGACCTGTATCATGTGGTGGACTTTGGTAGGCTCCATCCTGGAAGCATTGTAGGATAGCGCAATTGCCCCCAAGTGATGAGGTCGCAAGAAACAAAGCCTACAATTCCCAGAATCCAAGCCAACTGCAGTCCAATAAGGTAAATTTTCTAGGCTCTTCCAAAGCTTGCTATTAGAAGAGAGCTCAATTTTGAGGAAGAGAGTTATATCATGCAAGTCATATGCTTTGTTCAGACATTATTCATGCTTTCTTGAAAATTCTATTGCAGAGCATGGAGCCCTCACTTTCCTCATACAGAAGACAGTGCATCTGAAGAGAAAAAGTTCCTGTTTGTGCCAAGATTTGATACACAAGGAACATGACTGATTTTTTTCAGGTTCTTGCTTATGTGGAAAACCACAATGCAAGCAAAAGCCTCTCTTCCTCGGATGAGAGGCTTTTTCCATGGGAGAAGCATGAAAACAGAGGAAATCAAGAAAAAAAATGGCACATAATGTCTCAAGAAGGCTAATCATGTAGTTCTACAAAAACTACATCACTGGAGGTACATGGAAGTAATGCACAAATAAACAGCTTTGAGATTAGTATTATACCCTGCTTTTTCTCTCCACAAGGAGGCTCAAATCTTACATTAAAAGCATGCCAATATCACTTTAAATCTACAAATATACAAACATTAAAACAGAATTAAATGTCATTGGTATTAAAAACATTTAGTTACAATCTATAAAAACATATTCAAACTAAAAACCACAGCACCCCCGACTTGATCTTTTAAAAAAACCTTCTTTAAAAAGTATCCAACCATAATTTTTATGTGTAAACAAGCTAGGAAGGTGTGGTTTGGTGCATGTATGTAGGAGATCCTAATGCCCATGTTTCAATTTTTTCATGCCTGCAGAAGCTGTCAGTTGTCAGCAGACAGCCAATGAGCAAGGAAGTGTAAGTGAGTGTTATCTTACTTTCGTTTTTGACAAAATCACAGAAAAACTTGAACAAGACTGCTGCATTAAATTTTGTGTAAAGCTTGGAAGCTTGGTCATTCCCAAGTGAAAACGATACACCTGATTCAGCAGGCTTTTGGGGGTAAAGCAATAGGCACTACACAGATAAAGGAAAGGTACAGCCACTTCAAAGATGGGCACACATCAGTGGAGAGTGAAGTCCGTTCTGGTAGGCCCTCAACATCCAGAAATGACCAAGGGCTTCATCACACTTGAGCATTTATCCACTTTAATCCACTTTAAATGCTGTGACTGCCTCCTGCAGAATTCTGCAGTTTAAATTTTAGAGATGGGCCTTTAAAATGCTCATCCAGAGACACCCTGGGTCTCCCTAAATGACAAACCCCAGAATTCTGCAGGAGGCAATCACAATATTTAAAGTGGATTAAAGTGGATAAATGCTCAAGTGTGATGAGGCCTTAAGTGAGGACTCTAGTGATGCGGGATTGTCAAATCACATCCAGAGAACTTGCAAATGAGGCGAGCATTGGCATTGGATTTGTTCATTCCATTTTGACTGAGGATTTGGGCTTCAGGAGAATCTCAACGAAGTTTGTACCAAAGCTTCTAACAATCAAGCCGAATCAACTCTGTTTAGAGATCACATAAAACATGTTGCAGACTGTGAACAGTGATCCCAACTTCCTCAACACAATGATCACAAGGCCAAAAAAAGCAAGGAAGGTCTGCAGCAATGTCAAAGTCATTCTGATCAATTTCTTTGACTCTGGTGGCATGGTTCATCTCGAGTACGCACCACACAACACAACCACCATCAAGGAGTACTACAAAGAGGTTCTACATCACCTTCATAATGCTGTGAGACGCAAATGTCTGGACCTGTGGGCATCTTCATCGCAATCATGCACCCGCCCATTCTTCCCATTTGATACAGAGTTTCTTAGCTACACAGCAAACCTGTGCTTCATCAGGCTCCTTCCTCTCCCAACATGGCTCCATGTGACTTCTGACTTTTTCCCAAGCTAAAAATGCCCCTGAGATTTCAGTCCAGACAAGACAACAAGACAAAGTCGGCTTGATCCGTTCGGGTCTGGATACCATGTTAACGGCAGTCTCTGAGGATGTGACGAGAACACCTGTCTGTCCGATTTTGATGGATTCGTTTCAATTTGTGAAACCTGAGGATGTGGACGAGGTGCTTGGAGGGATGAGAGCAACCACATGCATCCTAGACCCCTGCCCATCCTGGCTTCTAGAAGGAGGCCAGAGGGGGATTGGCCGAGTGGGTGAAGGTGGTGGTTAATGCCTCCCTTCGGGAAGGCAAAATTCCAGCCAGCTTAAAGCAAGCTGTTAAAACCGCTGTTGAAAAAACCATCACTGGACCCCACTCAACGTCAACTATCGGCCTGTTTCCAATCCCCCCCCCCCTCGATCCCCCCGGAAAAAGATACCTCCCCCCCTGCCCTGCCCCCCCACCATCGCTTCCTTCTCATTCACTTCCGGCTCCTCTTCTGCTGCTTCTCATCATCCCCGCCCCCCCACCCCCTTCCGGTGATATAGCAACCACCACGAAACCATCACTGGACCCACTCAATTCGTCAACTATCGGCCTGTTTCCAATCTCCCCTTTTTGGGCAAAGTCCTGGAACGTGTGGTGGCCTCACAACTCCAAGCATTCTTGGTAGACACTGATTATCTGGATCCGGCACAGTCTGGCTTTAGGCCGGGGCATGGTACCGAGACAGCCTTGGTCGCCTTAGTGGATGATCTGCGTCGGGAGCTCGACAGGGGGAGTGTGTCCCTGTTGGTGCTGCTCGACCTCTCAGCGGCCTTCGATACCGTCGACCACGGTATCCTTCTGGGGCGCCTCGTGGGGATGGGACTTGGAGGTACTGTTCTGCAGTGGCTCCGCTCATTCCTCGAGGGTCGGTCTCAGAAGGTGTTACTGGGAGACTCCTGTTCAACCCCACAACCTTTGTCTTGTGGGGTTCCTCAGGGTTCAATACTGTCTCCCATGTTGTTTAACATCTACATGAAGCCGCTGGGCGAGATCATCCGGAGTTTCGGAGTACGATGTTATCTGTACGCAGATGATGTGCAACTCTGTCACTCCTTTCCACCTGCTACTAAGGAGGCTGTCCAGGTCCTGAACCGGTGCTTGGCTGCTGTGTCGGACTGGATGAGGGTGAACAAATTGAAACTCAATCCAGACAAGACAGAGGTACTCCTGGTCAGTCGGAAGGCCGAACAGGGTATAGGGTTACAGCCTGTGTTGGACGGGGTCGCACTCCCCCTGAAGACGCAGGTTCGCAGCTTGGGTGTGACTCTGGATTCTTCGCTAAGCTTGGAACCCCAAGTTTCAGCGGTTTCCAGAGGAGCATTTGCACAGCTTCGGCTCGTGCGCCAGCTGCGCCCGTATCTTGGGAAGTCGGACTTGGCCACGGTAGTCCACGCTCTTGTTACATCCCGTATAGATTACTGCAACGCGCTCTACGTGGGGCTGCCCTTGAAGACTGCCCGGAAGCTTCAGATGGTCCAGCGCTCGGCAGCCAGGTTGCTAACAGGAGCGGCACTCAGGGAGCATACCACTCCTCTGCTGAACCAGCTCCATTGGCTGCCAATCCGCTACCGGGCACAATTCAAGGTGCTGGCTTTAGCCTATAAAGCCCTAAACGGTTCTGGCCCCGCTTACCTCTCCGAACGCATCTCCACCTATGAACCGGCGAGGACCTTAAGATCGTCCGGGGAGGCCCTGCTCTCGGTCCCGCCGGCGTCGCAAGTGCGGTTGGCGGGGACGAGAGACAGGGCCTTCTCAGTGGTGGCCCCTCGGCTATGGAATGCCCTACCAGTGGACATCAGGCAGGCCCCTTCGTTGCTGGTGTTTCGGAGGAGGGTTAAGACGTGGCTCTACGAGCAGGCATTTGGATGAATATGCAATGACAACTAACTCAGTAAAACGGCATTGAACAAGGAATGAAAAAGGACTATGAGAACGGGATCTGACTCTAATTGAGGCGTTGATGATTATATGTGTGTTGTTTGTGTATGTGTGTCTTATATATTGTCAGTGTTGCTTATTTTATTGTAAACCGCATTGAGTCGCCGCCTCAGGCTGATAAATGCGGTATACAAATGGAGTAAATAAATAAATAAATAAATAAACATACAGAATGTGATGGGCCAGCTACATGCCATCTCAAAAGAGGCGTTTCAGTGCTGCTTCCGACAGTGGCTGAACCATTGGGAGAAGTGTATGTCAGCCCAAGGAGACTACTTTGAAAGAGATTAGTGTAAGATTGTTGTATCCTAATACAATTTTTAAATGAATAAAGCTTGTTTTGAACACACCACATATACAGTTATGTTACATTTCCTGATGAATTGTTCCTGAAAGTAAACAGGCCCCATGACACTTACTTTTCACTGTTGAAATAGGAAGTCACATCTGCATTTGGTGCACCAGCAACTGCAAAATTGCTGCTTCCAGTGTCAACCAGAATATTTAGCTGTAGTGAAAATAGGGAAATTATTAGTCAAGACAAATGGTATCATTTTAGCCTTTAATGCACATACCTGACCACAGAATGTAATTTCACACACACACACAATATATATATATTCTGAAAACAAAATCTTTGCATTTCTGGTAATTCTTTCAAAGAATGATACTGTATCATTTTTCTCACTGCAATAAACAGGACATGCCAACTCCTTTTGTTTTTCCTACTATTTTGCCATTTGCAAGAAAGAATCATGTACTCCTTATGTCGAAAAACACATGACGGCATTCATTCAGGAGGCCCTATTCAGGTTCAACTGTAATCATTCTCAGTTCAACATGTAGAAGATGTTGGAACACAAAGTCTGTACTCTCATAGGTCCCTTCCACACTACCCTATATCCCAGGATTTGATCCCAGATTACCTGCTTTAAACTGGATTATATGAGTCTCCAGTGCCAGACAATCTGGGATAAGCAGATAATCTGGGATCAGATCCTGGGATATAGGGACAGTGTGGAAGAGGCCTTAGAAATGGAATGGATTCCCCCATCACCTTTACCACTGTTACACCCCCCCCCCCAAAGTTTCAGAAAAGTTCACACATCAACTGATCTTTGGAAATTTTAAAAAATACAAAAGTTAACTCATTGAATTTTTATTTTCAATGATACAACAGGTTTCAAAAAGATTTGCACATCCACTGATTTTTAGGGAGTTTTAACTAACATAAACGGAACAATACTATTTTACTGGAAGACCCCAAGAGCCATCCAGTCCAACCCCTTTCTGCCAGGCAGGAAAAGCACGGTCAAAACATCCCAACAGATGCCCATCCAATCTTTGAAACAACAACAACAACACTTTACCTACCTCACAGGGCTGATTCAACTCCCAACAATTCCCTTTTATCTCAAAATTCCTTTAGAGATTTTGAGATAAAGGGGGGATTGTTGGGAGGTGAATCAACCCTGTGAGGTAGGCAAAGAGAATAAACACTAAAACTTTCAAGGAGGAGGAAGAGGTACAAGGTGGTAAGCATAGTTATAGGAAATGTAGTTTGGGAAGGCAAAGACCCCTGTGCCAGGGAATTTAAAAGGCCCTACCCTAAACTGCATTTTCCAGAAATCTGTTCACTTCCCACATTAAAGCCTCAATGTGATGGTATCTGGCTGTTTCTCCCTGGGCTGGCCATGTGCTGGAGGGGCTTCTTTGCCCGGCAACCAAGCCAGGCATCCCTCCTGCCCCCTTTGGGGAAAGAGCGGGGCTTCTTCCTCCACTTCAGCCTCGCTGTCCTCCTCATGGCCCTTTGGGGGAACCAAACCAGCCCTTTTGAGGAGAAGTGGCACCCACGACAGAGACCTGGAGCCATTTACGAGACTTACATAAGTCACAGGTCAGTGTTTTGAATCTTTAAGTTTTTTTGTGTGGGCGCCCCTTGTGTTTCTTAATATTACATCGTATGTACGAATATTACTAAATAGATACAACAAACGAGGCACAAACAAAGTTTTTCACAATCCTAAAAAGCATACAGAGAATATTGACTTTTTCCAAAAGTAAATAAAATCTACAGCAATTTTCAGCTGTAAAAGTATGGTGTTTATAAGTTATCACTCCCACATACTTGTGTGGGACTTCTATTTGGTATCTTTAGAATACATCACTAGTTGCAACAGTGTTTTCATTAAAAGTAAACATTGACCAACAACCCTACAAAATGCAAAGATATTTTTAAAAGGGAAGTTAACTGCCCATCCTGTATATATTCACCATGTTTAAGTCTCCAAAGCAAGTAGGTTCTCCATAAAACATAAGGCAAATATCAAAGCTGCCACCCACATTTGTATAACTCAAATTCACATAACTAATTGCTATTCAGACTCGCATTCCATATCTATATGAATCTGGGATCATCAGGCATAGGCCACCGAGGCAAACACTGATCCATTGTAGTCAACACAATTGTACTAGTTTAATACATGCAGAGGATTAAAAAATAGCTCATTTTGTTAAAGATTCAAATATTTTCTTCATTCTAGCATGTTCCTCATAAAATAAATCATAAAGTGTAACAATCATTTTTTTCTTTTACTCAGTTTTGTGTGTGTATGTTCCCCTTTTTTGGTTAAAACAAAGACAGCAGATAAAAATTCCCTTACTCCAAAACAGATCATCGGTCCTACTTGTTGCTATTTTGTGCTTTCCAAGCTGTTTGTGACTAGGGTGTGCCTTCATACTGTTCGCAAACCAAGGCAAAGCTATCTTGGAGTTTTCTTGGCAAGATTTGTTCAGAGGCTAAGGTTGGGAGAGTGTGACTTGCCCAAGGTCACCCAGTGGGTTTCCATAGCTCAATGGGGACTCTGGTCTCCATAGTAATAGTCAAATGCTCGAACTACTAGACCATGCTGACCCTCCTTGGTCCATCTATCTTAGTGTTGTTCATAGTAGCTTTTAACCATCTGTTACCACTGGCTGAGACATCCCATATATACTTGACAAAAACATAATAAAAACCTGGGTTAACTTAAAAGACTAGTCAAAGTAGTACCTCTGTACACTGTGGCACCACAACTGGCCCTTTGTAATGCATGCTCCCTTGTGGGCTGCAATATAAACTCTTCATGTGCCTATGGTAATCATAGAAGTATCCATCACACTTCTTTAAAAAAAAACAGCTTATTAACTTGCGTTTCTCTCTTAATGTTAAGCAACTGCTATGAAAGGATTGAGACAAAGGGTCTTCCCAGCGATTACATTTGAGTTATACTCAGAGGGCAATTATTGAAATTTTTTAAGCAGTCGTATTTATCCCCGCTTAATTATAACTGTTTTTTACATTAAAACTAGTATAATCTATGTAAATAGTCTACACAGAATCAATAAAGCAATCCCTTTTTGTCAAAAGGGCTAGTGAAAGGTTTGGATGCTCAACCACCACTCAGTTAAGAAACTATATGTCTTAGTCAAACAGTGACTGAGTCATCTTTGTATACTGATGTTTTATTAAGGATTGAGCTGGTATGAGGATCACAATTAGTTCTTGTTTCTTCAAGCCCATCCCTAACTTTGGCCCAGAAAACCACTCTCTTAATCTCAACTTTATCCAGCAGCACTAGCAGTCAATGCCTCACGTAACCAAAATGTCCTTAACTATCACATTGAAAGCAGGAGACCATCTCTTTCTCATTCACTAGGCATACTTTCATAATCACAAGCTTTCACATGACCACAGTTTCTAAGTTACAGAGAAATAAACTAACATTGAAATATAAAATATTTGCATTAGTTTTATTAAGATGGACAAAAGCAGAGGGCCAGACTATAGAACACAACTATAAGATATCAACAAACATGGAAGCACAAGAAACCAAGGGTACAAAAAAACCCCTCAGAGCTGGCATGGAGTACAGCACTCTGGACCAGACCCGGAGGTGGCAACACTACCCGCCACAGTCCCACTGTAGCACTGAATGGTCACCTTTACCTTTGTCATCCTGTTATTATCAAGGGGACAAAGGTAGAACTCCAAAGAGCTGGCCATCCCTGGGTGCCATTGCTAATGTTAGCAAGGGTGCCTTCATGATTCAGAGAGAAGGGAAGACAACTCCATTTTCTCCAAGTCTTGTGGGCATATTTGGGTGGGTAACCTGGAGTTCTGTGGCCACTGCTACAATGGTGACAGGGCAACAAAGGTAGGGGCCACCTCCCTGTGCCCAAGAAGTGAAGCATGGACAAAGCATGGACAAAGTACGGTTTACCTCAAAGTGTGGGGAAATTCTAAAGCATTCCCCAACTTTGCCTAACATTAGGCAAAAATGTACTAAGCAGGCTCACCCCACACTGGAGGCAAAAAGGCCCCATGCTTCATGCAGATAATAGAGTATTGGTTTTCACCAAGTTAAGCTGCTCATGTAGATGTTCCCAAAAAGTAGTGTGGCAGCAAATTTCAAAGTTCACAAGCTATTCAACAAGTGTTCTACTAGCCAACTTGCAAGGAGAGTCCCAGCAGGAAATACATTCAGTTGTGTTGACCCATATCAAGGAACAAAAGTTATCAATTTACTGTTCCATTAGGTTTTGGCCTTTTGTAAAGCTTTGTTGCTGTTGTTATGTCCCTTTAATTCTACCTATCACATTGCTTTTTTGCCAAGATTTATGCTGTTCTCTTCCTCAGGGAGAGTGTGACTAGTCCCAAGTTTATTCAGGTTCCATCCTCAAATAGGGATTCAAACCCTGGTGTCTCTCACAGTCCAACAATTAAAGCATTAGACTATACTGGCTCTTTTTGTAAAGCTAACAGATCTCAAATCATGACTGCATATATCTAACATTACAACAGAGATAACATATAACAATACGGTATATTGTTTCTGACGGTAATAGTTTCTTCACTTCCAGCTAGTGAGAATGGCATCCTTGAGATGTCAAGATGACATCTTGATCCCTGATAACCTAAAAACCTTGGTGCTTTGACCTTGCAAGCTTTGGCTCCATAATATGACAAATAAATAACGAAGTCAAATCTTTAGAACTCTGCATGCCAATTCAAGGGCCCGTTTAGCAGTTGCAACCTCTCCAAACAGTGGCCCAACCCACCATGGATAGTTTTAAACACCAACTATTCTGAAAGCCACAGTGATCCCTCCACTCCTCTTGTCACTTGTTCAATGAAAATTATCAACAAGGAAACTTAATTCAGTCCATAGCAACTGTGTGACTAAGCAGGAAATAAATAAAATTTGATTATGGCAGTCTAACATATGATTGAATGGCACCTGGTATATGCACTTATTTCTTTCCAAGCAAAGATGGGCAACAGCACAGGGATCTGGGCCATTTCCTCACAACACAAATACCCTGGCAGACTGCACCATCACGTCTGGTCCAACTAGGGATGCCATCTCATTGCTTCTGGGTTCCTCTATGGAAATCTTCATCCTCCAGGTATCTTGGACTTTAGGTCCTAGAATTCCTCGCTGCTGGTCATGCTGGCTTGGGTTTCTG